CAAGTAGAACACCATTGCTTGTCAGTGGTTCTGGTGAAATTCAAATGACCCCAAAATGCGAAGGTGAGGAAAGATGGACACCCTTGTCTCTACCTAAGCGTGCCCGTTTACCTGAAGAGGAGGGATTGTGTGAAGGATCACTAGCGGGAATAGAGGGCTATGGTGTGGTGGTGGCCTTGGGCTTTGTGATTTTGGTTTTAGAGGCTGACCTTTTCTTAGCCATTAGGACAGTCAAACAAGCCCAAAATGAAAGTATGAGAAATAACTAATAGCTGAGAGTGTGCCAAAAGCCTGAATTTAGTAGCAACACCCACTAGCAACTACAACAGTCAAAACAAAGCTTGCAATGACAACCTCTAAGTAAATGACAAAACGAGCACCAAAAATGGCACACAACAATGATGAATGAAGTCACAATAAGCAAGAACACCAACCCAAATTAACAATTTACTCCTAGAAGTCACCTACTCAAACATCAGAATTAATCTGACAATAATGCAGCCAATATGAAATTGCAATGGAGAATTTGGACAAAATATCAAAAATCGAATTAATCAGGGATAAAAGTTATCAGGCACTAGTCCAAGTTCAACAATGAACAAAAATGCTGTAAAACCCACGTTCTTTTGGCACCTGTTTTTATTATTTTATTTTCCCAATTAATTAAAAAGGTAAAATTACTATAGGTAAAAGAAAAAAATAAAATAAAATAACTATAGGATGGGATAAGGGTTCCTAATAAACTAAAACTCTTATCTAAACCACATACTAGTAGGTGGTGCTAGGGTTTAGGATTTTATTAAAACCCTAGAAAGAAAAATAACACCATCATTACCTTTCTTTCATCTGTCTCCCTAGAACAAGAGTCGTCAGAGAGTAGAGAAGGAGAAGCAGGCGACATCGTCAATCGATCAGACTACTAGGCACCTAAACCTGTAAGTCCCGAGTTCATGCAAACTTCTCTTTTAAATTCTAGTAGTTGCATTAATTGTCCTAGAGATTTTACGGATACGTATTGTTGTTATATATATGTAGATATATAGGTTTCTATAAGAGATTTAGGAGGATTCATATTTGGATTTGTAAAAGTAGGGTGTCAAATTTTAATCCTTGGATGAATAGGTTGCCCAAATCTGTTGAAGAGAAGAGCAAAAAAAAAAGAAGAGAAGAGCAGGCTAGGCATTGCAGAAGCAACGCCACAGGAAAAAAAAAAAAGAAAATAGGTGCCGCCATTACTGGCGGCAGAGAAAGGAATTGCAAAGGTTGGCCAAATGACCGAAAAGAAATTTTTAAAAAAAAATTGAAAGATGATGTCGCAAAAGTCATGGTTGGCCTTTTTGGCCAACCAATGAAAACAAAGGGCCAGCAAGATGGTTGGCCAAAAATGGGTCCAACCCGAGGAAGAAAAGTGGCAAATTAAATTTGGACCAAACTATAATATAAAATTTAGTAAATGTTTAATAAATAAATTTTCAAATATAACTAGTCCATTTTTATAGTTTATCGTGAGTACTAAAATTCAGGACCCAATTTAAAATAATTGTTAGAATTGAAGGGTTAGTCATGTAAAATTATACTTAATTAATTACGTCTAAGATACTTAAATGGAAATATAAAACATCTTAATCTAGCCTTATTAAGTTAAATTATACAATGTAAAATAAGTTCTAGATTGTCAAATGAAAAGCTCAAAATAATAATAATAATAATTCTAACAGTAACACTAATAATAATAATAATAATAGTAAATAATAATTAATAAAACAATGATAGTAAGAATAACAACAATATGGACATGAAGGAAATAAATTAAGGATATAAACGAAAATAAAAATATAAATACGAGTGGAACAAACTAAGACAATAACTATAATAAGTCAATATATATATATATACATATGCACACGTATATATAAATAATAATAACAACTACACACGCATAAAGGTAGAAATGAAGGGAAATGTAATAGTAACTAATTGACAAATGTATAAGTGGTAATAAAATAAAGTAGTGACGACAAGGATGATAATAATAATAATGAATAATTATAAATTATAAATATGCATAGTAAGATAATAGGCAAGATAATAAACATGACAATGAATAATTATTTTCTTTCAAATTAGGAAACTTTACAAAAATGAGAACTTTCTAAAAATAGAAACTTTCCAAATTAGGAAACTTTCTAAAAATAGAAATCATTCAATTTAGGGAAAATACTGTTAGGGTTCATATAATGGTCTAAACATGAATCTTCGACTTACTCAGAGTTTGTATATTTATGCATTTATAGAAAATAAAAACTAATTAGAAAACCTATGCATTTGATAGGTACGGCACCAGTTTAAAAGATCTAAAGTAGTTTCACTCGAACAGCCAAACAAAGGTAGGTGGTACTTACCCTTTTGAGATTTCAAAGGTGCAGCATGAAATTTTTGTTTTCCATCCTATTTTGTTGTGTGATTCGGAATGTATTTGATTAAATGTTTTACTTGGATATTTATGAAAGTTATATTTTCCTATACAAAATGGACCATGTGACTTATTTGAAATGTTTTGATAAGTTATTATATACCAAACGAGCTGAATCTTTTATGAAATCAAAGATCTATGTATGTGACATGTGGAATGAATTTTTGACAAGTAAAACTCAAAACAATTATGGAATAGATGGTAGGGACTATAGCCCTGTCTAATTGTCATGGTAGCCTAGTTTGGCCGATTAACAAGGTCATGGAACCTGGTATAGAGTCCAGCCGATTGACAAGGTCATGGTAGTCTGGTATAAAGTCCGGTCGATTGACCCATGTATGAAAAGAAACCAATCAGTAATCATGAAATCTATTGATCGCCCACCTAAAAGAGGTTTAATCTCTAGGTTGAGTACTCAGTAGCCGGTCATCACATGTACTTGTTATGAGCTGATCTGATATGAGACTTATGAATTGATATGGAATGATTTATGAACTGATATGAAGAGACTTGTGAATTGATATGAAATGATTTATAGCTTTATGATTTTTCATGTACAGTTATCAATACGATGTTTTTAAATTGTTTGCTACTCGTTACTACTAAATATTTTATAAACAACATTTCTTTCATGGTTGTGGGCGTGAACGATGTGCAAATTATTTGATTTATATCTATATATGAATGTATAAAGTTATGAGTGCATAGTCTAACAGAGGGGTAGATATTATCTACTGAGCGATTTGTCACTCAACCCACTTTTACCATCCTTGCAAATTCTGAAAAGTATGAATTGGTTTACGTAGAAGACCCTGAGGATGACTTTTATTAGTTTTAAATGAATAGAAGTAGGTAGGCTAGGTACTTCTAGTTGTTAGTTTATTTACATCCATTTTCTGTTATTTCAATCCGAGAATAATTGTACGAACTTATTGGATATTCGTAAACTACCTTTTATAGACATTTATACCACACTTTATTTAGTTATATTATTTCGTACTTTTAAAGTTTAGTCTAGTTAAATATACTTTGTATTCTTGGGCGGGACTTGAGAATACGGCGGATGTCACGTGACAGGCCCATGCAAGCTCGGGATCTGACATTTTTAGTGGTATCAGAGCTTAGATTCGAAATAATACTATTAGATAGAACAGTGTAAGAAATGAAGGGTAGTAATTAGTAAGTTAGGCGTGAGAAGATCTGTATGCCTTAGAAAAGAGAAATCAGGACTGATAGTGTTCCATTTGGCATTGTAGGAGATGGCTGAACCGATACATGGGTAGCATCAGGATTGCGACTATCCAGTTTATTTGACGGGATGCGATGTGGTCCGTCTTAGAAGGAGACAAAGATTCTATAAGGATAGGTTCTTTGAGGAGTTAGAGAGTCACGGACGGATCTTGGAAGGCTTATGCATTGGCTGACCGAGTAGCTAATCAAACGCACGAGATCTCGACATTGATAGTGTCGAGGGAACACATGAGATAGAACATGGAAAGTTGGCGTGGGGAGGCTCTCTGTCTGTGAGAAGAGGTCAATAAGTTGAAAGTGGAAATGGAAGTGTAGAAGAGACTAGTAGATATGTATAATGAAGAATTTGAAGAAGTAACTTCCCTACTCCAGAATCGAGATGCAGAGAACGACACTTTAGCGGTGAAGTATGAAGAGAGGAGGCAACGCGTGATGAACTGGATCGATGACCACCAACCCCTTGTACCCCAAATGCCTGGGTGGAATCATCTGTGGTCTGATAGTGACGCGGAGCTAGAGGACAACCCCGGGGAGGACCTTGAGAACATGCCCGTGAAAAATCATGAGGAGGAAAATGGTGTTGAGGACCAGGACGGTGTTGGGGAGGGTGTAGGAGATGGAGCAATTGTGGATACAGACCCACCAGCGGATGAGTAATAGAGTTGGTCTAAGAGAAATTCCATTTAACGATTCAATCATTTTATTAGTGTTAGGGAATATTATGACAAGAATATTAATAGGTTGATTAGTGATTATTCGCATAGATTAGTTTTCTATCCAATCGTAAGTTATAATTAGACAGTTTGGACACTAGATTCGTTAGATATCTTTTTTGAATAAGTTAGAATATTGACTTCGATGTGTAAGGATTCGATCGTTCTTCTCATTTTGAGTTAGCAAATAAAACCTCTAAATTAAAGTTTTATTATTATTATTATTATTATTATTATTATTTATTCACCAATTTTATTTTGGGGATAGTATGCGTAAATTATGCAAGTAGATAACTTTAGTTGGATCATCTTAAAGGTAGATATTCATATATATATATATATATATATGTATAATAATAATAAATAAGAATAAATTACTTACTCTAGTATGGAACTTGTTGGTTTGATTTAGGAAATGGCACCAAACACTAGGCGTGGCAGAAATCCCAACGGCAGCCCTAATGGTGAGAACGACCACAGTAATCACAACCAAGAAGCACATCCAGGAAATAATAATCAAAATATGGGTTATCAGGGGATCAAGTGGGCCTCAACCCTACATAATGTTACCCGTAGAATTAGTGACTGCACTAACCAAGGTAGCCCAAGCATTACAAGCCCAAACACAATTAGCACAGATTCAGACTGTTCAAACCCATAATTATGGACAAGAGGAAACTCAATCATATTATGAGAAGATGAAAATGGTTTATGTCCCTACCTTTGATGGAACTCCTGACCCAGATTTGACAGAAAAGTGGTTAGACGAAATAGAAAATAATTTTGCACTTTTGCAAGTGGCGGAGGAGATGAAACACCTAATCATCAAACCCTTTTTGGTAGGAGAAGCCAATAAGTGGTGGGCAACTCTAGAGCCTACCGTCGCCCCACCAGTAAGTTGGACAAAATTTAGAGAAGAATTCTTGAAATATTTTTTCCCACCTACCATGAGAATGCAGAAAATAGATCAATTTGAAAATTTGAAACAAACATTATGGATATCTGTGGTGCGGTATTTGAATAAGTTCACGGTGCTAGAAAGGTTTGTGTCGTCGACAATGGCGGATGTTGAGTTGAAGAAATATAAGTTTATACGGGGATTGTCGAATAGGATTCAAATTAGGGTGAACACCGCTTACACCTCTACGTTTAATGACGTGTTAGACGCCAGCGTTAAAGCTGAAGCTGATTGCAAGAGATTAGATAAAGATGGTAGGAATAAAATGGCTAAACTAGAAAATGAACTTGCAATGTCAGGAGCACTAAAATCCGGAGGAAGGTTCCGCTTAATTAAGAAAAGTCGTGGGTCACCACTGAAGATAACTGGACTAAATACCTTCCCTGTGTGCAAAACTTGCGGGAAGATCCATCGGGGAAAATGTCGACTTAAGACGACTTTCCCTCCGTGCAAAACTTATGGGAAGATACATCGAGGGGAATGCCGAATTGGAACAGGAGCTTGTTTTGAATGTGGACAGCAGGGGCATAGGGTTATGAATTGTCCAAATAGAAAGGTGGAAGGAGATAAGAGTGGCAATCTCACTGATAAGAAGCCAAAGGTTAACGCGAGGGTGCGTGCCATGACTGACGTTGAGGCGGAGGTGTCAGGCGACGTGGTCACAGGTCCTCTTCTAATTAATTCTGTGCCTGCATACGTGCTATTTGATTGTGGAACTAGTCATTCTTTTGTTGCTAAAAAATTTGCAAATTACTTATGCATATTTCATGAATGGATGGATCATTCCTACCGTGTGGCTGCTCCAAAAAATAGAATCCTAGTGTCTCATACTAGATATCCAAATTGTAGTATGGAATTGGAGGATAGGAGATTACGAGTGGATCTAGTACAAATAAATATGAGTGATTTTGATGTTATCATAGGAATGGATAGACTAACTAGACATTTTGCACAAATCGATTGTAGGAAGAAGAGGGTATTATTCATAAAATCGGACGAGAAGGATTTCTCATACCAAGGAAATGTTAGGAATAGGAAAATTCATAAGTTACCTTTTCTATTTGCCATGCAGACGTATAGGGCAATAAGAAAAGGATGTGAGGTATATTTGGCTTATGTTGTAGATATGGAGAAAGAGGAGACGCCTTTAGAAAAGATTCCAGTGGTGAAGGACTTTCCTGACGTATTTCCGGAAGACCTTCCCAGTCTATCTTCGGATTGGGAAATAGAGTTTGAAATAAATATTATACCTGAGGCGAATCCCATATCTAAAGCACCCTATAGAATGACGCCTGCAGAGTCAAAGGAATTCAAGGAGCAATTACAGGAATTATTGGATAAGAAATTCATTAGATCTCATGTTTCTCTTTGGGGTGTGCCAGTACTATTTGTAAAGAAGAAAGATGGTAGTTTGAGATTGTGTATCGATTATAGGGAGCTGAATAGGACCACAATAAAGAACAAGTACCTCTTTCCAAGGATAGATGATCTTTTTGATCAATTGAAGGGAGTTAAAGTATTTTCTAAGATAAATTTGAGATCGGGATATCATCAATTGAAGATTAAAGTCAATGACATCCAGAAAAGTGCATTTCATAAGAGGTACGGGCACTATAAATTTTTTATAATGCCTTTTGGATTGACCAATGCTCCAGCAGCCTTTATGGATTTTGATGAATCGGGTATTCAAATCGCAACTAAATCTTTTTGTGGTTGTCTTTATTGATAACATTTTAGCGTATTCTTTAAATGAAGAAAGTCATGCTGCCCATCTTAGGAAAATCCTAAAGATACTAAGAAAAGAGAAACTATACACTAAGTTTAGTAAATGTGAATTTTGTTTGAAGAGTGTGGCATTTTTAGGACATGTGATATCAGGTCAAGGGATGTCTGTTGACCCAAAGAAGGTGGAGGCAATTGTCGATTAGCCACGGCCCACTAATGTAACCGAAGTGATGAGTTTCTTGGGGTTGACCGGCTATTATCGAAAATTTGTGGAAGGATTCTCCACCATTGCTATGCCTCTTACTAGGTTGGCTCAAAAGAGAGCAAAGTTTGAATGGACAAATAAGTGTGAAACAAGTTTTCAGAAGTTAAAAGAAAAACTAGTGTCAGCCTCAATACTTACCCTACCCTCTGGGACGGAAGGATTTGTGATTTATAATGATGCCTCTAAAAATGGTCTAGGGTGCGTTTTGATGCAAAATGGGAGAGTGATTGTTTATGCTTTCCGCCAACTGAAACCTTACAAGCAGAATTATCGAACGCATGATTTGGAATTGGCAGCAGTGGTATTTGCATTGAAAATATGGAGGCATTACTTATATGATGTGCAATGTGAGATTTTTACCGATCACAAGAGTCTCAAGTATCTATTCACTCAAAGGGAATTGAACATGAGACAAAAGAGGTGATTAGAATTAATTAAGGACTATGATCTGACAATCAATTACCATCCGGGCAAGGCAAATAAGGTAGTAGACGCCCTCAGTACAAGGTCAAAGGTATTAAAAGAATCCACGGCAAAGGATCAGATGAAAAACTTTGAAGTGGAAATGGTGGACTCCACGGCTCAAATGCTAGCTGCCCTAGTGGTCGCACCTACTTTAATAAATAGGATTAAGGAGACGCAGTATTCTGATGACAGGTTTGCAATGATTAAGGAAAAACTTATAGTGGAACCTTTTGATGGGTTCGAATTGAAAGATGATGGGAGTTTGTGGAAATATGGTAAATTATGTGTGCCAAGGGATGAAGGATTGAAACAGGAATTGCTAAAAGAGACACACAATTCGAGATTTTCGATTCATCCTGGGGGAACTAAAATATACCGAGATTTGAAAAGAAATTATTGGTGGAATGGGATGAAACAAGAAAGATATAGCCGAATATGTGGCGAAGTGTCTGGTATGCCAATAAGTAAAAGCTGAGCACCAAAGATCTGTCGACTTATTGCAACCCCTAGAGATTTCCCAATGGAAGTGGGAACATGTGATAATGAATTTCGTCATAGGATTGCCTCGGAGAATCAGGAATAATGATACCATTTGGGTGATAGTCGATCCGACTCGATCGGCTAACCAAATCTGCCCACTTTCTACCAATATCGAATAGAGTAACAATGGAGAGGTTGGTAGAGATGTAATAAAGAAAATTGTATGTTTTCACGGTGTTCCAGTGAGTATAGTGTCTGATCAAGACCCGAAATTCACGTCTAGATTTTGGTCGACCTATCAAGAAGTTATGGGGACTGATCTGCGATTAAGTACCGCCTTCCATCCTTAGATGAATGACTAGTCGGAAAGAACCATACAGACTCTGGAAGACGTGCTTCGAGCCTGTGCTCTAGACTTCACGGATAGTTGGAATAGGTTGGTGAAACTAATGGAGTTCTCGTACAATAATAGTTATCATAACAGTATAGGTATGGCACCGTTTGAAACGTTATATAGGTGCAAGTGTAGATCCCCCTTATATTGGGATGAAATAGATGAGAAACTGATCACTGGCCCTGATTTGGTAGAATGAACTTTGGAGAAAATTAAAATTATTCGGGAAAGATTAAAAGTAGCTCAGGACCGAAACAAGAGTTGGACAGATTCCAAAAGGAAACCTTTAGAGTTTCAACCGGGAGAAAATGTGTATTTGAAAGTATCCCCTACCAAGGGAGTGATGAAATTTGGAAGAAATGGCAAGTTAAATCCAAGGTATGCAGGACCTTATGAAATATTGGATAGAGTTGGACCTCTAGTGTATCGACTGGCTCTCTCACCTGCTTTGTCAAGGATACATAATGTTTTTCATGTCTCCCAACTGAGGAAGTTATGTATCAGACCCTTGCCATATTTTGGAAGATCAACTCATCGAGGTGAGGGAGAATTTATCAGTGGAGGAAGTTCCTTTAAGAATTGTGGATCGGAAGGACCAAGTTCTAAAGAGAAAGACCATACTCTACGTGAATGTGCAATGGACGAACCATACACCAAGAGAGGCAATGCGGGAATTAGAGGAGGACATGCGGAATAGATACCTATATCTTTTTTATCAAGGTACGTAAGTTTCGAGAACGAAACTTTTGGTAAAGGGGGCAGAATGTAAAACTCACGTTTTTTTGGCACCTATTTTTATTATTTTATTTTCCCAATTAATTAAAAAGGTAAAATTACTATAGGTAAAAGAAAAAAAAATAAAATAACTATAGGATGGGATAAGGGTTTCTAATAAACTAAAACTCTTATCTAAACCACCTACTAGTGGGTGGTGCTAGGGTTTAGGATTTTATTGAAACCCTAGAAAGAAAAATAACACCATCTTTACCTTTCTTTAATCTGCCTCTCTAGAGCAAGAGTCGTTAGAAAGTAGAGAAAGAAAAGCAGGCAACACCGTTAATCGATCAGACAACTAGACACCTAAACCTGTAAGTCCTGAGTTCACGTAAAACTTCTCTTTTAAGTTCTAGTAGTTGCATTAATTGTCCTAGAGATTTTATGGATAGGTATTGTTGTTATATATGTGTAGATATATAGGTTTCTATAAGAGATTTAGGAGGATTCATACTTGGATTAGTAGAAATAAGGTGTTATATTTTAATCTTTGGATGAATAGATTGCCCAAATCTGTTGAAGAGATAAGAAAACAAAAAGAAGAGAAGAGCAGCAGCAACTACCGCTGCTTTGTTTTGGCTAGCTGTTGCAGAAACAACGCAATAGGCAAAAAAAAAAAGTGGAGGCTGCCATCACTGGCGGCAGAGAAAAGAATTGCAAAGGTTAGCCGACCGAAAAGAAATTTAAAAAAAAAAATTGAAAGATGATGTCGCCAGCACTTGCTGGCGACAATAGGCAAAAGTCATGGTTGGCCTTTTTGGCCAACCAATGAAACAAAGGGTCGCCAGACTTGCTGGCGACCATGGTCAAAGGGTCCAACCCAAGGAAGAAAAGTGACATTAAATTTGGACGAAACTATAATATAAAATTTAGTAAATGTTTAATAAATAAATTTTTAAATATAACCAGTCCATTTTTATAGTTTATCGTGACTATTAAAATTTAGGACCCAATTTAAAATAATTGTTAAAATTGCAGGGTTAGTCATGAAAAGTTATACTTAATTAATTACGTCTAAGATATTTAAATGGAAATATAAAACATTTTAATCTAACCTTATTAAGTTAAATTAGACAATGTAAAATAAGTTCTAGATTGTTAAACGAAAAGCTCAAAATCATAATAATAATAATTCTAGCAGTAACACTAATAACAATAATAATAACAATAATAATAATAATAATAATAATAGTAAATAATAATTAATAAAACAATGATAGTAAGAATAATAACAATATGGACATGGAGGAAATAAATTAAGGATATAAACGAAAATATAAATATAAATACGAGTGGAACAAACTAAGACAATAACTATAATAAGTCAATATATATATATATATATATACATATGCACATGTATATATAAATAATAATAACACCTACACATGCATAAAGGTAAAAATGAAGGGAAATGTAATAATAACTAATTGACAAATGTATAAGTGGTAATAAAATAAAGTAGCGACGACAAGAATGATAATAATAATAATGAATAATTATAAATTATAAATATGTATAGTAAAATAATAGGCAAGATAATAAACATGACAATAAATAATTATTTTCTTTCAAATTAGGAAACTTTACAAAAAGGAGAACTTTCTAAAAATAGAAACTTTCCAAATTAGGAAACTTTCTAAAAATAGAAATCATCCAATTTAGGGAAAATGCTATTAGGGTTCATATAATGGTCTAGACATGAATCTTTGACTTACTCAGAGTTTGTATATTTATGCATTTATAGAAAATAACAACTAAATAGAAAACCTATGCATTTGATAGGTACGGCACCAATTTAAAAGATATAAAGTAGTTTCACTTGAGCAGCCAAACAAAGGTAGGTGGTACTTACCCTTCTGAGATTTCAAAGGTGCAACATGAAATTTTTGTTTTCCATCCTATTTTGTTGTGTTGACTCGGAATGTATTTGATTAAATGCTTTATTTGGATATTTATGAAAGTTATATTTTCCTATACAAAATGGACCATGTGACTTATTTGAAATGTTTTGATAAGTTATTATATACCAAACGAGTTGAATCTTTTATGAAATCAAAGATCTATGTATGTGACATGTGAAATGAATTTTTGACAAGTAAAACTCAAAACAATCATGGAATAGACGGTAGGGACTATAGTCCTATCTAATTGTTTTGGTAGGTTGGTATAGAGTCCGGCCGATTGACAAAATCATGGTAGCCTAGTATAGAGTTTGGCCAATTTACAAGGTCATCGTAGCCTGGTATAAAGTCCGGTCGATTAACCAATGTATGAAAAGAGACCAATCGGTAGTCATGAAACCTATTGGTTGCCCACCTAGAAGAGGTTTAATCTCTTCAGTTGTCGGTCATCACATGTACTTGTTATGAGCTGATTTGATATGAGACTTATGAATTGATATGGAATGATTTATGAACTAATATGAAGAGACTTGTGAATTGATATGAAATGACTTACGACTTTATGATTTTTCATGTACAGTTATCAATACGATGTTTTTAAATTGCTTGCTACTCGTTACTACTGAATGTTTTATAAACAACATTTCTTTCATGGTTGTGGGCGTGAACGATGTGCAAATTATTTGATTTATATCTATATATGAATCTATAAAGTTATGAGTGCATGGTCCAACAAAGAGGTAGATATTACCTACTAAGCGATTTGTCGCTCAATCTACTTTTACCATCCTTGCAAATTTTGAAAAGTATGAATTGGTTTACGTAGAAGACCCTGAGGATGACTTTTATTAGTTTTAAATGAATAAAAGTAGGTAGGCTAGCTACTTCTAGTTGTTAGTTTATTTACATTCATTTTCTGTTATTTCAATCCGAGAATAATTGTACGAACTTATTGGATGTTCGTAGACTACCTTTTATAGACATTTGTACCACACTTTATTTAGTTATATTATTTCGTACTTTTAAAGTTTAGTCTAGTTAAATGTGTTTTGTATTTTTGGGCGGGACTTGGGAATACGGCGGATGTCACGTGACGGGTGCGTGCGGGCTCGGGGCGTGACAAATGCATCCAACAAAGTACTAAACCGGCTTGCCGGTTAGCCATAATAGTGTGATTTATAATTGACCCAAAGCAAAATTTTTCAACAAATAATCAAATTCACCCCAAGATAAAGGAACAACCAGATCCCAACAATTTTTTTCCAAACAAATATAGAACTTCCCCAAACAACGAACTACACAGAAGAATTACAGTCTCATTGATTCAACCAAAAAAATATGCAAATCACCAGTGCACAACCCCGATTCACCAACATAAAAATAGCTAATACCCAATAATGTACCCAA